AGTCTGCACGCCATACAATACCGGAAAAATTGAAATCACCCATAAGGATCAAGGGGGAATTGGGATAGCGTACAGTCAGCGGATTCAGAACATCATGAAGTTCAGAACAAAAGAAGGGGGAAGGAGCTGGGGATCGATAACATGCACACAAAATATAGTCACGACAGGAAAAAATGATTCGCACACATACTATTTCTAAGGATGACCTGATCGGAACCACAGAGGAATTAAACGCTTCATTGACAGCAACGAGCACGCCCCCACCGATACGGACGTCACGGTCATAACGATATGTTCTGTACGCCTTATCGCAGTCAAATATTTCACTACTTTTTATTTTTGCTGAGAGCCACGTTTCTGTTAATACGATAATATCGGCTGAGCAAGAATCGATGGCTGAAGAGAGGGTGGCACGCTTATTCATGACGCTTCGAATGTTGGTGAAAAGAAACGATACATTGCTTAGATTGGATTTGGGAAGAGATTGCTAGGATGATTCCGGAGAGGAACTGCTCGCGGAAGCGTCGCCACTATCAGGAGGCTTTGTACCACGAGGAACGCCTGTCTGACGGGAGCTATCAAGCGCGTGAACGCTGTTGGTCATTGCGCAGTATCCATATTGCTTCTTATTCATCACAAGTTTGTTGTATCGCAGCGAAAAAGATTGCCCGTTTGCTTTTCCGAATTTGATAAGCTTTTTCCTGCAATGCCGAGTAGCTTGGCAGAAGTCCTCACTCAAAGAAAAATTTGTATTTTTAAGCTTGCTTTTTAGTGACAGGATGTGGTCCTTTGTTTTAAAAGACCAGAATTTGGTTATTATTGGGCGAGTCTTACTCGCCGCAAAAGAGCCTAACCTATGCACCCTGGAAATCGCTCCTTCGGGTAGTTCTAATTCAAGAAAACGCGAGCAAATATCCCGGATGTGACCCTCAGACTCCGCCCAGGTCTCAGAGCAATCGTCAGGTATTCCATAAAAAATGAGATAATCTCTCCGCGATCTGTCCTCTAGTTCATTCAGGCGAGAGGTAAATTTGGCGCTCTGCGCATTAACTGCCTCTGACACAGTTCGTTGGATTTCGGTTGCAGCTGGCACTACATCTAGGTTTTCAACGATACATTCAACGGTTTCTAGCCTAGCCGCAAGGTCTGATACCTTTGCCGCGAGTGCTGCTTGAGTTTTCTTCAGATCGGCAAATGCCTCCATTACCTCCTCATGACGGTGGTCGTGTTTGGAAGGAGAGGGCAGCAAGAGCGGCAAGCAATTCATTGTGCTGTGAGGTAGAATCAACACGATTGGGCCCGGGGTTTAGCTCGACGTCTCCACAGAGAAAGACCAACTTACAAACAAAAATACAGTCACACAAAATTTCATGAAGTACACTTGGGCACGGGAGCAGCAGCAAAAATGCGTTATTAGAGCGCTTACAGTGTATAGATGGGGCGGTACCAACCTGCACAAAGAAGGGCGGTGCGTTGAAAAGGCGAACGCATCGTAGCTGCTCTCCCGTGCCCACTGAAGGACGACAGGCGATGCCAGTCGTTTAAGTCGGCCCGATTAGGTGATGTCCACGACGATGGTGCTGCTGGGCTGGTTACTGGGGTAGTCACCGTCTCCAGCCAAGGTTGAAAGTAAAGCCGATCCTGTGCGGTACTTGTTTCCACGACGAACGGAGCAGCAGACGTTGGAAGCACAGCTGCGTCACTCAAGATAGGATTCCATGCGCCGAACAGGAAAAACTGCACAAAGAAGGGCGGTGCGTTAAAAGGCGAACGCATCGTAGCTGCTCTCCCGTGCCCACTCCATCAAATTCCTTTCCTGCCTCTTCTTCCTTGCATGACGTGTCATTCCATGAGCGTCATTTCATGACGTGTCGCTCAATAAAAAAAAAATGCAACACGGTCACCTTTCCTCCGCATGCTTAGCATAACGTTTATTCTGCAGATACGCGGGATCTGCCGAATTTTTTTTTTCGATAGGCCGCTCAGTGGCACATACCTGATCGACCACACATATCACGGCTAGCCTGCTGACGTGGAGTGGCCCACTGCGTGCAAGTTCATGCCCCGACGAACCTAAATAAACTTTTTTTTGCATACCACGGTGTCGTTGGTTAAAAAGGACTTCCTTTGATGGGTGTATTCTCAGAAGGTGTACTGCTGTAACGTTGAAAGTTCGGCGCATGAGAAAGAGTCAAATTTGAAAAAAAAAATGATCGTGTAAGAAATGATGACGCCGATTTCGTATGTGCACTGCAGCTCTGGAACTCCGAAATCACCACCGCTGCTGTATAGAGGTTGTGGTGCTCGTATGCTGACCCGAGAGTCACTGGTTTGATCCCGACCGAGGCGATCGATTTTCAATGGTGGCGAAATTCTACAGAGACCAGCGTGTACTGTGTGATGTAAGTGCTCATTAAGCACCCCAGGCGGTCGAAATTTCCGGAGCCCTCCGCTACGGAGCACCTCGCAATCGTATACCGTGGTTTTGGCAAGTAAAACCTCTGGAATAGTTATGAGAACTCCGAGGTTCTCCGAGAATGTGCGTGCAACTGGGGATTTCGTCAGACTTGTGTAATGAGCTCAGTGTCCTTTATTTCCTTTGAAATTCTGTAATCACAGAAGATTTGTTTACAATCATTCATCATTTCACGGACGTCGTGCGCCACTATAGGACTCTAACCCGCGTGCTAGAGCTTGCGTTTTAGTTCACTGAACTTACCACGGTGGGTCGTCATGTACATTCTCAGGATACCACTATTTTGAAAGCGATTGTTTGCGTGCCAGCCAACACAGGTGATTGAAAATGGACGCAGTATCAATTGTAGGTGTGCTGTAGCTATAATGACACATTTTCGCCGGCCGATGTCGTTGACCATCGTCGATGACGGTCCCACTTTCGGTTTCGTCGTTATTTTGTGTGACAGCGGTTCCCAGTGTGGCAACGGTTCCCAAATCCGCGAAGCGCCCTCGTTTTGGGAATTGCCGAATGTGGCGAGGAAAAGGCGCGCGCATGCAAAACGTGGTCTCAGGAAGGAAACGACATGCGCGCATAGTTTTCTTCCCGATTCCGTGTGGCACCTGCACCGTTTCCATGTCACATATTGCACCAACAAGGGCAAATGCCTTCAATTCCGAAGCCCACGTTTGGCGAAGAACGACGCCCGTGGTCTGCCTTCGCAATGTGATTACATTGTGGTGGTGTGGCTCGCCAGATTCCGACCAGGTGAAACACAAGATGGTCGCACACCAAGCACGAGATGGTAGGTCCGTTCTGCTTGGCAGCTGCCTGAATTGCGGCAGATAAAATATATATTCTGTGGTGCCACAGCACTGACATCTGTCTGCCTGTTTCCACAGTGTGTGTTCGGCTAGAGACGTGAAGTCCGAGGCAACATACCACGTTCTTGCGACATAGTTCACATTATTCGTGGCACAGGGCTTGATCTAAAGGTATAGTAAGCATATCGTATATCGGAAAGCTGATAGACAACGGTGTCTCTGGCGTAGCCGGTTGGGGGGGGGGGGGGGGGGGTCGATATTTAGAGTACCTCGAGAAATTTTTCAGTTTGGCATGCGCATATAAACACGCACACATACGAACCTCAATGTTGGCGGCAGGCCGTAGAGCGGGTGAGAGGTGTCTGGAGACCTGTCCCTCCCCGTTCGAAATGTCGATGGAGGAGTGTTTTGCCGAAAATAACCGAAAGAAGTGTTTTTGTCAAATAGTCAAGGTTTTAAACAAGCTGCGCGTTACCCTCTCCACTTTTCTCCTAGCAGCTGCTTGCGCTCGCTTCCCCACTGTGCGTGGGCAACACCCCTTTCTTTCCTCTCCTACGCTTCCCCTTTCCTGCCTCTTCCTTGCAAAGCCGACGCAGGCAGCATCTGCTGGTGAGTTTATTGACTTAAAAAAAAAACGAAAAGAATGACTGCTCGCGCTTCACAACCGTGAAGATCCGCATCACCTCATGGTCCCCTTCTGGGAGATGCTATGATTTTCTTTTTTTTTTTCAGCAACTTGGTCACGTACTCGTCTTACCATTTCGGAACTGTAATAGGTGACGTATACTTATTACGTGAACGTTTTTCGGTAAGGTGAAGTGTCACGTTACTAGTTACTTTTTGTTCCAATTATGCCGAGAGTTTCACGCAAAGCCGCGGTCTCTCCGTATTGTTGGTGCCGCACTCCCAGAGCTACATGCTCTTGTCGCTGCGGTGGACAGCTATCAGCCTGCCAGGCATTGAATATGATTGATTGATATGTGGGGTTTGACGTCCCAAAACCACCATACGATTATAAGAGACGCCGTAGTGGGAGGCTCTGGAAATTTTGACCACCTGGGGTCCCTGGGCGCCATCATGGTCCTTTCTGGGTTGTTGTTAGTGCGCGTGACGCCCACGAAAAATGCACTGCCGGGGCTGTGACGTTGGCTTTTGTACTCTCGTGCAACAACCTAGAAAGGAGGAAATCCTCCTCTCCGTAAAAAAAGGTCCATATTCATTTTTTAGGATGACTACACCACTGATAAACATGCACACCAACATACTTAAGGGTAGTTGAACCCCCCTCCACCCACAACAAACTCCGATTCCTCCAGAAAAAAAAATTCGTTACGTGCTCCTGGCTGTGTTAACTCGCGCCTGGTAGGGTGCGTGTCATCCAACGAGGGAAAAAGCACAACGTTCACGGACAGAGAAAAGAAAAACGCACTGTTTTCAAACTCCGGCACGAACATCATCAAACGAGCAAGGTCTGGATTAGCTTAATTGAGAGTGCCTCCTTGCATTCCGCGCTCGCCCACTCTCAGTCTCTTCTCACGTTTGCTGTTGAGTCAAGTCGGTCATTGGACCTGGCGTGGCTCGCTTGACAAGGGCGGTAGACGGCGGAAGTCTGGAGCCGCTCTCCTGCCTCTGGCGACGGTGAAAGAAAAAGAAAAAGTGAGCGCTGTGGGCAGTCAACGCCGCCGACGTTTACGGCGCCTCGGCCGAGGAAAGAAGGTCGTGGCGAACCGGTTTACCGCCGTGGGGCCCGACCGGTCTCCTTCCTTGGCGTCGGTCATGCACGGCCACCGCCGTCACTGGCGATCGCGCGGTCGCCCGCCGAAGTGCTTTCGAAGACAGATGCGCCCAACTTTCTCTCCAGCGGGCAGCTGTTCGGCGCCGAAAGTCGAGAACTCGTGAGCCATCCACTGCGCGCCCGCGTGTGAGAAAGCGTCGGACATCATGAAGAACTTGACTGCCGCATCGTCTATTTGCTGCGTTGACGAGGCTTTAAAGGACCGGCCCGCTTCCGGAAGACCACCGCAAGACCGAAAGCTCTTTCGCGAAACCATTCACCTGCGGCGACTCACGCGGTACAGCGTGAATTCTGTTGTATAGGTAACCTACGAGTTCGAGATGCTTCACGACTCCTCCTATCAAGACAACGACGCCTTGCCGATATTCAGACGGGATGTACGAGTGAGCGAAGTTCATGCGTTTCGCATCGTATGCATCGGTTTCGAGTGGGATCGTCGCGGCGAGTGTGATTGAGTGGCAACGGTTTACGATTTTACGAGTGTCATACGGAGAACTCGATGGCGCCGATTAACCGAGTGCACCTACGATAGGAACCTTCGCTCGAAGCTCTGGAAAGACTAGTCTTTGAAAACGCATTCAGCGTATGCGACCAAAGATGCACTCGATAGCGGCTCGCATGGTCGTCTACTCCCTATGTGTGTTCGGCGTGTTTGTGATAATCTGGTGCAATCTCTCGGGAGCTCCACCGAAGTACAACAGACACCAAGTTCTGCTGCACAACTTGCCGCCGCTAAGGTCGATAGCACCTTTCGTCGTGACGGCGGGACAGACCAACACGACGACCGACGCGGCGACTCCCGCTGCTTGCGAGGCCACGCGGACTGCCTCCGCTCTTCGCAAGCCGGTGGACGTGGTGTTCGTGGCCAAGTGGGCCTATCGAAACATGAAGGTGACGCGAACCATGAGCCACTGCCTGAAGAGCATGTTGGCCAAAACGAACAGTTCGGTTCGCTTCCACGTGCTGGCCGACCCTCAGAGTTACTTGAGACTCAGCCGAACGCTTCGCAGCATCCAAGATGAGTCGGAACGAAAGTTTCAGGTGAGAACTTAGTAAGCAATACAACTAAGCGGGCTATTTGTGTGCTTAAGTTATCAGTTACTGTTACCAATACCACGCAAAAAAAAAGGCACAGATAGGTGATGCATAGATTGCACAAGTGATATCAATGGTAACCAGTGCTGCTGAGCTTCAGAAGAGATAGTTACTGCCCTGCGTGTAATTTATTAACAATGCTGAATGGCAACTTGAATCTGATAGCTTTCTGTCCTTGAATCGAATGCCGTGAGGGCCGTTTATCTCAAGAACACGACGCAGGTCTAACTCTTGTGTACAACAGGGGCGGATGAAACAACTGAATGGAGGCAAGGCCTCGCAGATTAAAGGAATCGAGAAAGATCGTACATCAAATTACGTTTGTATAAGGATGTCTGCACCACAACGACGAGTAGCCGGTGCCTCCGAAGAGCGTCAGTTTTTTATAATACTATTATAACTAAAATATTTATGTAAGGACCAAAACTGAAAGAAACTATTGCATGCAGCATTGCTCAGAGATACGTGCTGTGATTGCACTAAATTTTCATGCCGCTCGTTCACGCGGCATCAACTTGAGAGCGGTGGGCGCGAGTTTATGAACGAAGTGCTCAATCGAAACCTGGCCTTCGTGCGCGGCGTGCCCAACACGGTGCAATACTGGGAAGCGCGTCGCCAGGAACTCATTGCCATGATTCGCCAGCTGGGCAAAGCGTACGCATTCCACACGCTTTCTGCCGCAGAAATACAGTGGGACGGGTTCCTCAAAACTCCGAAACAGCTGCGAGTGGAATTCACGCTTTAACGATGTACCTCCGGAGCTTCGCCCACTCATCATTATCATTCACTCCGTGGATATGTGTTCGTCTTGAAATAACCGAAGGCAGCATCAGGTTAGACGTACGCTACATGGTAAAAAGCTCGTAAATTTGGACTCGTAGGGCAGTATATTGTTGTTCGAAATAAGCGGACTTTGAATTAACGGGCGGGTGCTACGATGAGTGGATATAGCGCCGCACTACGTGCACACAGCCCAAAGAAGCCACCTCGGGACTCGATACTACATGATCGTGGCACTGGATATTGTAAATTAAGTTTATGCAACACCAGCATCGGACGGAATTAATCGATCAGTCAGGGATGCACCAGAAAAAAGACATGCCTTCATGCGAGCAGTGAGCCTAATGTGAAATATATGACGCCATTGACGCTTTAAAACGAGTTTATTTAGATGGATGTCAACACTCTAAAATGTAAATGTAATCAATAATTTGCACTGACTTGCACTTCTTATGTCGTGACTTCATCGGCATCGTTTGTAGCTTGCACAAGAGCTTCAGAACAATGTTGGAATTGTAATCTGCCTAGAAATGTCATTGTCTTATTGCTCTGCATCTGCAGGAAACTTGGCATTTGGTTTTGCACATATTGTGATAAATAGTTACCCGACTTATGCAAAAAGCCTCGAAAAGCAAGCGCTCCTACTTTCAATTAACCGTTGTCGATAACACGGCATTCGAATAATCGGAAGTGTTCCTCCATAGCAATACACAGGGCAGTGCCGGGACCAGGGCATCAGTTCGAATAACTGTAAGTTCGAGTTAATCGAGTTCGAACTAACGAGTTCGAGCTAACGAACTAGCATCAAGGGTCCCGGCAACTAATGGTGTGCTGTATTAAATTTTTTTTCGAACCAAACACATTCGGTACACATTCGGCCTTTGATTCACTAGCTTCATAAGTAACACGCCATTTCCAAACCTTTCTTTTCTGTTATTCGTGATCGGACAATTTTTGCTATTTTATTGACACGAAAATAGTTTATGCCTAATGCATTTAATATATTCTGAGGTTTCTCTTAGCGCGAAGTTTATTCATTTATCCCAAGATAGTAAAGCCAGGAAAGCTGGTAAACGTACAGAACAGGACGTATGCACTTCCTGAAGACGCCAGGCAGCAAGCTCTTTCGTAAGCAGTTTTAGCCGGGCATAATTTTCTGTTCAGTGAAAACCAATTATTACTGATCAGTATGCTATGCATAAGATATTCTCTCGCAGTGCAATATCGTAGAGAAATTTTTAATGAACTAAGAAGCATTTTTCGGCGAAAGGACTGTGAATTAATAAGTCGCCTCTGACTTTCCCTTCCAACGCAGTTCTTTCTCTACAACATAACTGCCGTGGAAGCGAGCAACCGGGAAGTGATCGAACTGATGCGGCTGCTCTTCTTCACCAAAGACGTTGGCCGCTACAATGATGACATGTTCTTCATCACCGAGATCTTTCACCGCGTGTTCGACGTGTCGCGCATTCTGTTCATCGACCTGGACCTCGAGTTCGAGGAGGACGTCGCGAAACTGTACGCGCACTTCGACTGCTTCGCCGAACGAGACGCTGATCGGCATCGGGCACGACCTGCAGCCGCAGTACCGAGTCGACTTCCAGTCCTACATCGACGCGCACCCCGGTACGGACGTGGGCATGCCGAGGCCCGGAAAGCAGGGCTTCAACACGGGAGTCATGCTGATGGACCTGGACGCGATGCGCGCGTCCAAGCTTTACAACGAGCTGCTCACCTACGAGAAGCTGGCACCGATGTGCGCCAAGTACAGCTTCAAAGGGTCTCTGGGCCACCAGGACTTCTTCACTCTCGTCGGCATGGAGTACCCCGAGCTCTTCTTGGTGCTGGACTGCACGTGGAACCGACAGCTTGACACAGGTTGGTCGCACACAGTGAACAAGGCTACGTTCGACGCGTATCACAGATGTGCCGGGAAGGTGCGTATATACCACGCCAATGGCGGTGCCAGGTTCCCGGAACCTGGCAGGTTCCCGGAACCTGGCAGCGAGGACGACTCGGGACCGAAGATGCGCAAGAGAAAGAAGACAATTCCTTTGCATCTGTACCCAAGTTTCCAAGCTATACGGCATCAGCCGGTCATCAGTGACTGCACGACTCGTGTGTGCCCTTGTATATAGCGATGCAGACTTCTCGTGCTCCGTCGTCACAAAAAGACAGCAACACCCATTTGTCGAGGGCTAGTCTGAACACGAACGTGTTTCTATACAAGTGTTGCCTGCATCCAACCGGAAGGTTGTGAAGTGCATGCAGATTGTTGGGTTCCTATTGAGAGTATGAAGAGCGTTTAGCGGGACTTCCAGAATGAACCAAGAGTGTACAAGAACAACACTGCCAACAGGCTGGTTTGCTTTAGCGCAACCGTTCTTTTGTGTTCTTATTGATTTACACGAATGCGTAGGATGCCGTGGTAATAAATGTACGAAGGTCACTGGCGCATCCGGTGACCCTCGAGTTGAAGGAGATGTATCATTGTTTTGTGTGAAGCAGGGCGTTCGTAGTTCGTCATGATATGGTTATGAAGCAATCTAAAAGCGTCGCTGTGAAGAATGCGTCGCATGGTCATTTGTGTGAGTTTCTTTATGATGATCAAGCCGAGTCGTGCGCGCGGTATGTTATGTTGGCGCTACATAGACTCCTGTAATGTAGCGCAGGTATGTAGATAAGTCTCCATGAGTCCTATAAATGTTACTTGTTAGCGAAAAAAAAAAACGCCGTTTCGTGAAACTCTGTGGATGAAAAAAAAAAAGCGGCTGAAACGGCGTTTGCTTCATCCTAAAGAGTAATAGAAAACTGGATAATCTTCGAATATTGGTTTGCTCGATAAAGTGACATACGCGACTGCTCCGCAACTCGTGAACTCCTGCGGTCTCCCCGAAAGCACGACCAAATTCGATTATCAGCAGAACTCTTTTTATTTGACACTTGTGAACAGTCGAAAAATTATGTACATGGTTTGGAAGCGAGACAGGCAAAACTCTTTAACGAGGAGCTATGGTCTCCGCACACCCTGACACAGTGATCGCGGCGTCCAAGTTCTTTTTTTCTTTTTTCCATGCAGGTGATAAGCAACAGCAAAAGTTTGAACAAGGTGATGCCTTCGCTTCGTTCAGCTTGCGTCCTGAAGACTAAACCTATAGCATAGGTTCACAAAAAAAAACAACAACATCAACGAGAGAATAATGTTGAACTCACGTTCTCGCATGTTGTGATAACTAAGCACGCATAAATTTACGAGACGATCCATTTCACTCCCAGGCTCTTCCGTCAGCCTCGGAAATGCGTAGGTGGCATGGGGCCCGAGTATGATTGAAAACGGCACTCTTTACTGTATTTTTGTCAGCTTCTACGAAATAAAGAAGCATGCGACTTTCACTCGTCCAAACTTTTCCCTGGCAGCTGCCAACCGACGCTTTCAGTTTTCTTGCATTCTAGTACAAATAAGTGCGATAAAAACTCAAGGTAGAGCTTCTTTACTCACACCCAAAGCTGCCGGCGCTGGCGCGCATATTGGAGACTACTCACTCAGTGAAAAGCAGAACTACAGAGGAATTTGGTGACTACGGAACTTTCCGGCAATAAAAACACAGCGAAAGTGACAGCATATATGATGATAAAAAAAGAGCAATTTTATAGGTCGCTCATTGAATTGGAGGTAAAACGTCTCATCGCATGTTTCCTTACGTCATCGATCGTTGCCGCCGGTAGTTGACTCCACGTACTTTACAAAAGGATTATCGTATTGCGAAAGCACCCGTTTGGAATTTACGATTTTTCATAATACGCTTTGCATGTCGTCGTGTGCAAGTGTTGTAAGTTCAGGCGAAGCCATCACCAACACGAAAACTTGTTTTTTGTTTCCAGTTGCAATGAATGCGTTTCGGCAGTATATACTATTGCAACATACGCGTGTATTAAAAATTTACTGCCTATAATTTCCAAGGATGAGAAACACCCTCAAAATGAAAGGATCAATGTTTGATATGGCAGGACTACGGCGGCGAGCTGAACATGCGTGAAGTGTTTATGTTTTTGCGTATAGAAATGACTCATTAGCCACACATTTAGCCGTTGACGCCACTGCTGGTAATGGTTACCACTGTGGAACGTTCGAAAAGACAAACAAACACGCATTTCAAAAAAAAAAAAACCTGTTTGCTTTGATCTGTTATTATGCTTTAAAGGGCCCTTAAGTAATGTATGAAGATACAAGAAATGAATGTGTAGTTTTCTCCCTGTACTACTTTGCCTCGCATGATTATAATGCGCGACTTCTTTGATTTCACCTTGGTCTGTGAGCTATAGATTGGCCGAGCGGAGGCAACAGCGCGCAGCCGAAAAGCTCGAATTGCTTATATAGCTCACCGCTAAGGGCTGACATTTTGTACGCGATTTATGAAAAAAGTGGCGAGGGGGAGATATCACCCGTGGGAAGGGTAGTGAAGGCAAGAAAGGAAGTGCTGTCTGGTTTTTGAGAGCGAAGTGGCTTATACGAACTCTTTAGGTACATTTCGGAAGCACGCGTGGTACCCGCGAACTAATTTTGAGCCGCCATCTTGCAAATGAACGCGTGCACATCATTACAGTGTGTAAAAAAAAAAGACTATTGTAACGAGTTGTCTACACCTCCTGTGTACGTAGAACTATGCTTAGCATGTTTCAGACACCTAAAATGAGACCTCTTATGAAGAGGGGACGCTTGCGATCGCCTGTGCTAGGAATTGAACCTATACATGGCCCGAAACGCGACCATGTGTCTCCAACACACACGCAGCTTCGACTACAACAGAATGCCTATTTATAAGCCACGTGACACCGTTGTACTATGTCAGATGCAGAACACGCACGCGAGGGTACACTTTGGGAGGGGGAAAGAGATGGGGGGTGGCACGGGTTGTCTGGACAAGGTACTGCGCTCATCGCGTAACTGAAAAATCAAGGAAACAGCGGGTGTTTATGGGTATCGAAATACTTTGGAAAACGAATGGCCCGCGGTCATGGGCCTCGGCAGGATCTTGTCTTACAGGGAGGAGGCGGGTGTGCTAATCCGTTATTCATTGCGGTGAGGTAGGAGGGAATGGGCTCTGGTGTTGCTCAGGAGGGGGCAGGGGGGGCAAGATCTCCTTTTGAACCACCCTGCCGATGCCCACGTCCTAGGCATGATGGCCCGAGAAAAATTTACAATTGCTTAACGGCTAAACTATGATACCATGGCATGCCATAATGTGTTTTTGCATAGAAGTGAAAGTTTGGCACGGAGTGTTAAGCAAAATAAAAGTGCCTCTAGCTAGCTTTGTTTTTTGCTCAATACACAAAAGAGAATGTGCTAACGAAGCGTATGAGACAAAGTTTCCAGAACACTGACATGCCTGTACTGAACGCAGCTGCCTATAAGCGCACAATGATGATGAGATTAAAAGACAACAGTCCTGCCTGGTCTGGCGCTAATGTGTTTTTTGAAGAAGCCTTTTTGAAATTTTATCTCAATTCATGCTAACGAGATTTATTAGAATTCTCTCGGAGAACCCACGTCTACACTAAGACGCCGATATGATACCTATAAGAAAAAAAACAGGCATCACGTCAAGCGTGGTGAATATGTGCGCAAGGACGTGACGAGTCTATTCGCGAGCTGTTAACCTTGCCGAGAATCGAGTTCTGTCTACGCGATCGATGAAAATACCAGTTATAAGAGGGAACTGTACGTGTGGAGACGCCTTGCGAAGTTTCAGCTGGCGAGGCTACTACTAATGGGCACCTCTCCCACATGTACGCAACTAACCACTGAATACCCTTCAGCCGAACGCTGCCTTACAGCGGCGAGACGGTTGCACGTTAATATTGACAATACGTCGTACCAGCACAGATTCTACACCGCCTAGTGATTCAGTGCTAGTTAAATTAGCTTAAAGGGACCGACGATCAATTTTTATGGTACCTGTACTGTTTCTCGCAGCGGAAAGGTTTGCCGGCCTGAGTGTCAAGTCAATGCGAGAATCCCCGCGAAACATTTTTTATAATCAAGTCTTTTTCGATCTGCGGCGACTATATGAAGTCGCAGAGACACAAAATATGCTGCAAACAGGGAGGCTAGCGCGACACTATGAGTGATTCTGGGCGTCTGTTTGTTGCGCATGCGTTCCCTAGACGCCGCGCATGCGCCGTAGCTCGACGTGCTCCATTAGTGGCCGCGAATGCAGCGCCGCTCCTCAGCGTGCGACTCCTCTTACCTCGCAAGCAGCACGAGATGGAACAAGGATCATTAATGGTATAGATAGTGAAATTTGGAGCAAAAGTTATAGTGCAAATGAGTGCGTCGGACTACGCTACCACAAAGGGAACGACTCCATAATTCAGCTTCAATGCTCCTTCGCTAGGTGGCGTGACATACCGGCTATATAGGAACTTTCAAACGAGATTTAGAAATATAAATCTAACTCAGATAGCCGAAATGATGCTTGAATCTGTCGCTGTAATACGTGGTCCTGTCCCTTTAATTTTCAGCAGGGTCCAATCACATGATCTGCAGTGGCCTAGTTGTCGGTCCCTATAAGCGAGGATGAAACGATGTGGAATTAGAGCTCAACTGAGCGTGGTCACAAGGTTTAACGGCACTGCTATACGTCAACGAACAAGTAGTGAAGGGTAGAGTGAGTCGTGGCACTTTGGGTTATCGTTGCTGGGAATGGTTTCAAATAATGGCTGTCGAAAGAGATTGCGACAAAGTTGTCTCGCTTACGCATTTTTTTCTGCGTGCCTACGTAGTTTCGCTTACGCATTTTTATGCGCGCCTATGTTCTAGCTCATACACGAAAAGTGTATTCAACACTTCTCACTTATGAGCTAGAAGAAGGAATGTACATAGGTCAAAAAACTTCTAGTCCAAGTGTCCTACGCGAGTGTTATATAGCCTAAGTTCAATACGCCGAAGTTTTTAGTACCTACGCATTCGAAATAGTTTCGTACTAAACGTGGGAGCTGACTTGATAATCATAGCACGAGATGTATCCGATTAAAAAATAGTCCAGAACTAAGCTCGTGTAAGGCGAAGCTCGACTTTCTATGGCCTTCTGCATGGTGCGATGCAGAACCACGACGTTCTAATATACACTACGCTGTTAACTTCATAATAATATCAAGCATTGATTGGCACGTGGCGCTCACTGGGAGGTTAAATATACATGTTCTAGTCGCTCAAGCGTAAAGGGGCCATATCCGGGTGCACAAAAATAGGAGCTAGTGCACCAGCACGTCTTATGTTATTCTTGAAGCCACTCCATATCTATAACTCTGCCCACAATTACTAATCTTGCCGAGTTCATTAAGATGTGCTCTATCAGCCTAGATAAGTATCTTGGTGTGACGGTTCGAGGTTAGACTTAAAAAAAATTGCGAAGCTTTGTAGAAAGCTGAATGTGAACGGCGCCATGTTTTGACTATGTCAATCCATCCACGCTACTTCTCCTGAAGGAACTCAAGCGCCCGAGTCCTTTCAGTGCGATTCGCGGCTCGTTGCATCTGTGAAGACAGTGGAGAAGTTTGCGCTGCGACTGGCGATTGTACAAAAAGCTATGGCATACCTGATGTATTCACGTCCTTATAATAAGGATTCTGGTAGGCGCAATGGCTATACATAGCATTCATTGATCGCGACTTTGTTTCTTTCGCGACGAGGGCAGTGAGCTGAATGACACGGTATATTCGCGTTTCATCGCTCAAGTGAGGCTAAGTGTGATTAGTTGAAATATTCCGCTACGCGGGAGTGTGAGTGTAAGTGCGAACGAGTACGCTTCTTGCGAGTGTTTTTCAAATTGTGGGATATGTATTGTAAATGTATCGGAATTGAAGGAATACTTGCGTTCTGCTTTGGAAACTCGTCTAACTACCAAAAGACCCCCGCTTTCTTTTTGTAAGGTGGTCGGCGGCGCACGCAAAGCACTATAATCTCAAAAACTGCAACATTTCTGTTGTGTATGTGGTGTTGCGATAATAGGCAATAGCAGCTTGGAATCTCCGAACCGGACACAGGCGTTTGGAAATGCTGAATGAACGCAGATACACTGCTTAATGCGGTTAATACAACCATCAAACATCGTTTGAAAATAGAAAGGTTTTTTTTTCTCGTGTGCATGGAGTCAAGACAACCATGAACAGCAGTGAATTGGAGAACCGTATTTTTTGGACATGATTATCAGAAACAACATCTGACATAGCGTTAAAAATCTCGGACGTTTGGGGACGCTTGAGACTCGTTCTTGTAGCATGTGGAATCACAAGACTGCCTAATATGATCTGAACTCTCATCAAAGGAACAACACAAAAATGTAAGCGAGTAAAATAAATAAATAAATAGGTAAATAAATAAATAAATAAATAAATAAATATAGAAATAAATAAATAAATACTTTGACGCTTTACCCGCCTTTGGCAGCTTCTATCAACGACATATTGCGTTAGGTCCACATCAAAGAGTTTGCGAGGGATCTAGCGCTGTAATGATGTACTTAGAGAAAACAACTCTGCGTGACTACATGTAACGCAGGTATCGCATGCGGGCGACCGGAAGCCTGTCGTCGGCACAAATTGAAAGCACTGACCAATACGATTGCTGCCAACGCAGTTGTGGTTGTTCGGTTATTTTCCAGTTGCAAACACTGTTTCTTAGTACTTCGAACGTCAATAGCAAGGAAGAAAGAAGTGTTTAAATGAACCTGATGCAGAAGCCCTGCAAAAAACCTCAATACGTTTCAGTACACTGTGCACAATCGAGTGTGAGACAATAGATGAGTGCACTATAATTCGTTCACGATTTGCTTCTTTTTTGTGAGAGCTTGCTGAAACAATGTTTCTGTGATTTTACGTCTGCACGTGCTTAGCCCGACAAATGCCGCTATCAAAGTTATGCTTCTATGGAGATTTTTTTCCCTTTGCCAGGCCCAAGGGAATAGAACATTACAGAAATGCATGTTTTTTTTTTTTGCAGGGGTATTCTCGTAGAATACCTTAGTCGTACGTCCGTATGCCTTTCCAAGCTGCAGAATGACGAGAAGTTTCGCAGATTTTGCTTGTTTACGCACAACTACGGTTGGCATATTGTAACACGTATCGCTCTCGTCTTAGCGTTGCTTGTGAAATATGGCGCCGCAATGCATAACTCTTAATAACGTAAGAAGAAAAAAAAAAGACAAACGAACGAAGATCGAAATATGTAACATACGCACACCTGTCAGTTGCATGGCTCAAACAGCAGACAGTCAATGATGTTTCCCGAACCATCAACGCAGGGAAAGCATACGCTCATGCCAGTGTTCCCTCACAACGTGATGTATCTCTGACAAACCCTTTCTAAGGCTTCTACATCTGCCCAGTTTCGAAGTGATCACCGACGCGTGATCGCTGGCCAATCAATACGCAATTACATAAAAAAAGTACGGATGAAAGTACATTAGGGAAAGCTGTACACATTGGTTGTAAAGTGTTCAGGCGTAAGAGTATAATAAATACGCTAGCGAACATGTTTACAATGCGCACACAAACGCGCTCGAAGCAGGAACGCAAAACTCAATCGCACGTCTCTTTCAACTTTCAAGACTTCATCGGCGGAACTCGGGAACAGACGGAAGCTCAATCGTTGAGTCCCGTTCACAAGCAAACAGGAAAACACTTAACACATCGGCAGAACTCACTGGTAACGGTCCGGTTCACTCGAGAAAACGGCACACTTCAAAAAGGAAAAAAAAAAAAGCATACGAGAGGCTCCAAAGTCGCTTTTTTTTGCTTGCTCTTTGGTGTGGCTTGGCACGAAGTTCACAGTTGAGTTTGGCACACTTTTTTTTTTGGTGTCGTAAGGAAGTAGCATCATCCACCCGGGCATATGTACACAGCTCTGCTCCATCGCCAGTCGAGTTGTCAGCAGGCTCGACGAAGGAGACTTTTTTTTTTTTTTTGACACGCAGAAGATGACGGTGCGGGAGTGTCGACTTTGTTAACTGGTGAAAGTTGCCGACAAGCGGTACCGTTGTAAGGCGGGGTGGTGGCTTCTGTTTCTCGCGTCAAGCTTATCGATTTGTCTTTCCTTTTAGCTCTAGCAGCACTCATGGTAGATTCGAATGGAATTCCTTCACTTGTTATCAAGTTACTTCTGTTCCAACGCGGTCGAGTATATTCCATAGAAATGTCAAGTAACAAAATACGTAAAATTGACTAAGCCAACTTAGTGCGATCATCGGACATGTGAAACGCACCAGACGCAAGCCATAAGGTCTGAACGAAGACTTGTTTATACCTGCTCTATCCCATAACCGGCGGAATCATCCATCTCCACGCATCCACTAAATATAGCTGCATTCGCCGGATTTACAATTTCTGTGTCACCCATTCGAGTACTTCAGCGATGCTGACCTTCTGTCGCAGGTACATATTAAGTACCCGAGAACAGACAAATGTGATAAAAGAAGCGAGGGAAAATAGGCTGCTCGCAAATCCTGCCTGTCAGTAAAGATGTAGAGTAAAAAATAAAGGAAGATGTCGAACTAAGACGTCCAACCGTCGCCAGCAGCGAGAACGGAACACAGCCGCCATCATGCGCGTGATGCGCCTGGCCACCCACGCTTGCCGTCGTAACCGTCACTGTTCTTTCCCCTGGTCCACGTCAGTCCAGGCTCATGGTGCGCGTAAGGAAGAGCCGTCGGGCGGCCGACGACCCGGAGACGCTCGGTCATATCCAGCCCATGTTGGCCGGCTTGCCGACGGGTTCGATCCCGTACACTCTGGTGAGCAGCGGTATGGACCCGTTGGCAGGCGACTCGTCAGAGTCCTTGAGCGCGTCCTCGTGCTCCGACGAAGGCTGCACCACGACCGTGGGCAGGTCGCAGGGCTCCGTCGGTGGCGGCGGCAAGTCGTCGGCTGTCGCCGCCATGGCCAGTGCGGCAGCTGCCGCGTAGTCACCGGCACTGCCGGCAATGCAGGCCCCGTCCGGTTCGAGGGTGCCGTTTATGGAGTTCCTCGGTGTGGGCACTTTCGAACTGGCACAGCTCGGGATGGGCGACAGCTTGCACTCGGCTGCCAGTCCGTTGCACGAACTGCCACCCGCGCTGGCATCGGCGCCACCCTGGCGATCCGCCTGCATACAGACCTTCCTAAATGCATGCTCTCGCGAGTTGGCGAATCATAGGTGGCAGCCCGCAAGCAGCCTTTTGAACTATTTCAATATCAAATGCATTTAAGCAGCTTTTCTACTGGATCTATCAATTTTAGAATGTGGGGCCGCACATTCGCCTTTAGGGCCGTAATGAACGTTGCCTATACCCAAGAGAGCCGACTGCAGCAGTATATGCGACGCCTCTTCTGTACCCTTTTTATAGCCTCATGGTATCTTTGTCTCAAAGTCTTCATGTGAACTGTTATAATACTCCGACTCCACCTCCGCATTTCTGCACGCTAGTTCCCAAGGCTTGTGTTAAGAACACGAGTGAACTGGCTATGGTTACATGGACCTTGTTCTATAGAGTTAGTGTTTGATGAACGACACCCTGTAAGACAGTGAATTGTACACACACGCTACATAGATGTCGAATGGAGAGCAAGGGATGAGGACATTGGTGCGGGTTCCCACTTCATACTGACCATTCTTTTGTGTTACGGAGATGTCTTTTGCTACGCCAAGAACCACGTGAAAGGCACTGATGTTTCACTTGTCAGTCTTGAGTCGCACAGGCCAGGTTCACGAGACAAAAATAAGAGCTGGTTGTGCTAGTGATTTTCAAGTACCCGTAGCAAACCGGACTGCATGTAAATAGTTTACAGTGACCTTGTATAAATCATTATTCAAAGTATTTGAGACCTGAAACTTCTGCGCGGAGTTGTTGAGGAGTTCAGTCCTCGTCATGTGAGTTCAGCTCTAGCGCAATTTTTCGGTGGGAGTACTCGCGCATCACCATTTGAATGGCTTGTATACACCAACAAGGTTAAAAGAATTGCTGGACGGTAAATAGTGTCTCAAGAATGAAGCCATAACTACCTAAGATGGCGGCCATGGCCACCATCTTTATAGGAGCAGGATGCAACGCTCAGCGAAGAAAACGGAAACAAAAACAAAGGGAAAGTTTAGTGAACCCGTATATTCAAAACACTAGAGGAACGTTTCGCTTCGAAAAAAAAAAGTGGTTAACGATTTGTGCTCTACTATGGGAGAACATAAAGCCTTCCCGTGGGCCTTACACTTGTTGAGGCCACGTCGACAAAAATTACTCACCGTAAAAACAGAGCGTTTCCATCGCACACCCAACGAGTTGCAACAATGATCACAAGGTACCAGTGCTGTAGCGTTTAGAGCAAATAGTAGACGATTCACAGTACTCCCGCAATGCCGCTGTATAAAAATCGAGGTGGCACTCGGTACTGTACTATTGAAAAGCTTTAGTCAGCTGTCCCTACCACATGGCTATGTTAATGACTTCTGTCTGGGTGTATTGACCTTTTCACTCAAGGTTCCGTGGGCGCCGCCATAGTACTCTATGGGCAGTTAGTGCACGTGACTCCCCGATTCGAGTTCTGTCGGTGTCATTAAGAAGGTTGCTAATAGTTTACAGTACTTGGTACTGTACTATGGAAAAGCAAAAAGCATTCCCGTGGTCATTAGGCCGTGCCTAAGGCAAAAAGGTGGTCTGTGCTTAGAAAACCTGGGTAACGATTTAGAGAACAATGTACTCTACTATGGGAGAGCATAAACCCATCCCGTGCTTAAAACACGCTTCTGTGTGTTTAGAAAAAGTGGTCTACGATTTAAATACTCGATACTCTGCTATGGGAGAGCTGAAAGCCGTCGCTTGTGTGGTGTGTTTAGAGAAAGTGGGTAACGATATAGAGAACTAGGTACTCTACTATGGAAGAGCATATAGCCGTCCCGTGAGCGTTGAGAAAGGAGCGTTTTGCTTGCACGTCCAAGTGGTTGAGAAAATAGGCTAAGACGTTTATTATAAATTGTTATCACGGACAGCATGTCGGAGAGATACGGATCAATTTGCGTCTTTATCTTACTGGTTTCTACAGAAAAGCCTCAATCCTTCGCAAATGTAATTAGAGATCACAAGTCACGAATACTCGGTGTGCTCCTTTCGTCGGGAACAACGATCTCTAATTTAGAAATCGACCTAGTTTTTACAATAAAGGAGTGATACAGCCTTATATCTAAACGAGTACCTCCTGAAAGCAGTATGTTTCCGAGATAATTGGTGGACCTCTTTAGCCGGTAAGGCGATATGCGAGAGCTTCCACTCCAGCATTGATGCACGCTGTTGTATAGCGATGGCGGTGGTACCTGCATCGCAGCCCTCGGAAGCACCGACGAGGGCGGTGCGCTGACAGTGCGGTGCGCGCGGCGCTTCTCCGAGGACGAGTGGCGCAGCGAGTCGTGCTCGGAGAAGAAGGCGAGCCGCGAGCGGCTGAAGGTGAGCGTGCCAAACTTGCGCGAGAAGCGGCCCCGCATGGAGAGCGACGTCTCGGAGTTGCAGACCGAGTCGCCGCCTTTCGGTCCCGAGCCGGACGAGCTCGAGCTCATCGTCTCCTCGCTGCGGCTGCGCGAGAAGGCCGCGCGGGCGCTGCGCGTGGCCTCCACCAGGTGGCCCCAGCGGCCGCGCTTCACCTTGTTCTTGCTGGCGAGGCGCGCCAGGCGGGCCAACCGAGAGACGGGTGACTTCCGTGACGTCACTTCCTCGATGTTGATCTCGGGCGGGCTCGGCACGGAGCCCTCGATAAGGCCTATGTTGAAACCCTTCATCAGTCGGCGCTCTCGCTGGCGGCCTTTCTTGCCTCCAATGCCTGCGTCGTGGTACATACGACAAACAGTGGTCATCGTACAGCCGACATGGTCATTGCTTTATGTCAGCATAGATGTCTAAGTGTGCGTGGAAAGGAGAGATGGAAAGAGCCAGTCACTGAGAACAAAATTTTAGCGACGGCTGGCAATACGTTATATTCGATAAAGATAAACATTTTGGAAGTCCATGTGCTTAGATTTAGGAGCACGTTAAAGAACCATAAATGGTTGAGATTTCCGGGGCCTTCCACTATAACGTCTTTCATAATAAGATCGTGGGTTTGGGATGTAAAATTCCAGCAAATAATATTATATTATTATCGAGATATGCTCTAGCGATCGTGGTCATTCTGAACAGGGGCCGCAATAAAATTACGTCATTGTCTTTTACATAAAGACAATTAGACCCAAATTGTCCTCACCACAGAGTTTCATACAGTAACACCTAGAGGGGAATCTGGCACTAGTGTCTATGCGGGTTTCTTCAGCGGTGCTTGTACCCCCATAGAAACTATGAGTAGTACATGCTTCGGATAGGCTTCGGATTGATCACGTTCTTGAGATTCCCGACGCTTCTTTTCCGAGTGAAAAACGAAGTAATAGGAAGTTGTTTTCAAGCCAAACCTGCTTCATTCTTTTTTAAGTAAAACTTATTTCTAAAAGTTTTCGTGACCATGCCAGGTGTGGCATCAATATGTATCAGATTATGTGTTACAACATTCGAAAACAAACATTCTTGGTCTGCACCCAACGCAGATCACGTTTTGTTGTGAAGTCGAGTCAAAGAAGCGTGAAGGTGCGTTTACTTAGCTTCGTCGCCGTTTTCCAGTCGATTTAAACGAGTTTCGGCAAGACGCGCTTACGAAAAACAACAACAACTTGATTTTGATGTAATATTCTGTATTGGCATGGGACTCTATATATGTGCAGCGGTGAGTGGACGACGCTTCGCTTAAACTGCCCCGCCGCGGTGGTCTTGTGGCTAAGGTACTCGGCTATACTGACCCGCAAATCGCGGGTTCAAATCCCGGCTGCGGCGGCTGCATTCCGATGGAGGCGGAAATGTTGTAGGCCCGTGTGCTCAGATTTGGGTGCACGTTTAAGAACCCCAGGTGGTCGAAATTTCCGGAGCCCTCCACTACGGCGTCTCTCATAATCATATGGTGATTTTGGGACGTTAAACCCCACAAATCAATCAATCAATCGCTTAAACTGTGAAATACGACTTGTAAAGCTCCAAAGCCGCAGCATATCCCAGACTTTCAGCCTCTTTGAACCACGAAGGTTCTGCTTGAGTGCTTTGCACCACACCCCACTACCCACACAGCGCGAAGAAATAAACTGAAACTGTACTAAAAGATTTGTAGACAGTTCGCTAGCTAACGCAATCCAATCCAAAGCCTGTACTTCCCATAAATTTCACGGGGTACACAATCACAGTGCCAGATTACTCTCCAGGTATTATCGAACGGAACTCTACGGTCCTCACCTTAACATTTCTCAGTTAGCCCCGGAAATTCAGCAACTAGATCATCAAGTTTGAGGGATGTCTGAAAACTTCAAATGCAGTAAATATTTTTACGGAAGGTGCCAAGTATTCTGGTCATGAATATGTAGCATGATAAGTCTCAGCTGATGTTAAGGGGAGTTTAAGGGTTGATTCACATACGTCCCAAATGGTGCTAACCAAGAAACGAGCAACTATCATAGCACTCTTGAACACTTTCTATTACTCAATAGGGCGTCTTCTTAGGATGAGTCACGTTGTTACCCATTTATAGTCATCCATCTTTGCTTAAGAGTATGCGAACATTCCCTGACTTTCTACAGTTTCTCTAATGAACATTTAAGGTTTACAGTGGGGGACTTCCTCTGGGTGTTCGAATTCATTTCACCCCGAGAAAGTACGTGACTCAAAGAGTACAAATATGCAATATTTTCAACCGTTTACTTTCATTATCGTTCGTCTACACGATGGCCCGCATGCTGTTTGACCCAGTTCATTCTCGCCCAGGCTCTGTGAGGCTTCACCAGGCCCGTGTTGCTACTTACAAAAAGATCTGGGCTTCCGGTCTGAAGAGAACAGATTTACGTATTTGTAACCATTTATGCAGAAGAGCAGATGATTAAAAAAGGACTGCGCGTGCACGAAGCATAAGCCGCAAAAGGCAGATTGTCCAACAAGGATGCACGCTCATTTCTTCACTAATCAGTGAAGTAAGCAGGTTCACGTAGTGCACGTGCGTAAACTGCACTTTACATTGAACGATCAGCGTCTGAGTTGATTGTTCGATCAAGGAAAAATCACAACAGAAACTAGAAGGATGTTGTGTGGTCTGTTGAGAAATATTCCTTTTAGTTAGGCATCATTGGGCAGATCCACACAATGATGCGATATATAGGAAGCTCTGTTACGTAGAAGACCACACCGGACTTTCAATGTCCATGTATCAAGGTCCAGCTAGAGGAAACGAGACGCCCCCCTGGCAAAACTGTCGCGTTAATTGCGTGGTGTGAAACGAATATGTTATCCCTGGATGAATTAATGAATCATACAGCTGTTTCATGGACACGGTGAAGATTGCGATGAAAATATAAATTACTAACTAACGAAATAAACATGGGGAAAACATACATGAAGTTCAAACCAGGACGGAACTTAACGCTCAAGTTATCAGCGTTCGTTTAAGTAAATAGCGTTCCGGTGCGGGAGCAAGCACAGTGCCAGATCGACCCATGGTGATATAGAGCACGCTTTCCAAATAAAGCGAATATGCACCGAACCCGGAGATGGCCCTCTGAAGAACACAACGTGTTGGAAACCATACTGATTGAGAAGTTCAGCCCAGTTCGCGGAACCAAGAGCTCACTTGATGAAAAAGAACAGCACTAGAAGATGGAATAAGCTACAGCGTGCAGTGTAGTGTCTCCTTGTCTGAACCAGCTTCACGTGCTGGCTATATTCAAAAGCCACGTACTAACTACGTACCAACAGCGTGTATGAAAGCAATCATTGTAAAATTGCGCTCTCTTGTGTTTCTACGGGTATTTTGTTCCTTAGACGTGGAGTGGGGGTCATGGAGTTGAAATTAACAGAGATAGACAATATAAAGGGACAAAAAATATTGAAGCAGGCCTCGAAATCTTCGAAGAAATCAAGCGGAAAGTGCCCTGTTTCTAATTTTACGCCAATCATTTTCAGTGTTGCTGGGGTTTACTTATATGCCACCACCTTAGTATGCGGAGCAAAAAAAAAAAAGTACAATCTTCTTTTGCCTGGTAACTTTCAGTGATTTTTGGCACTCAACAAATGCTTTCGCTGAATTCATCACATAAGTTTGTTGATAATGTAGCTTTTTAAATGTTATAGAGCTTCTCCTAGGCTGTGTCACATTCACCTTTTGCACACGTTGAGCTTTTTATAGAAAAAAATGTAGTTAGCCGAAGCCGGAGGGTTATATAGCTCTGGTTGTGTAGCCCTGTCGCGGTGCCTAACATTAATCACAATTTTATATTCTAATTCTACTCCTACATGTATAGCCAACATTGGCATGAAAAGTAAGAGATTGGGCCCGCATTAACAAATTTCTCATGTTTGCATGGTTATGTTGGCAACGTTGATCGTCCATCTTCGATAATATTGCCACCAGCACGTAGTGGGTCGACAGCAAGAGCGGCTCTCAATCTGGAGGAAAAAGAAGATCGCGTGCTTCTTTCTCTGCTCGAGAGCCAGCCACGACTGACGCATCGTCCTAGAGATTGCTACCCGGTGGTTTAATAAATCCCCCAGTACTTGTGACTCATCGTGACAAACTGGTGGAAGTGCTGGGTAGTCTCACGGATGATGCAGACCCCCCCAGGAAGCAGTGATACGAGTCCAGTGCCAATCAATACTCCCATGCATCGGACCAGCCGCCGAATCAGGGGATCGCCTCCGGAAATCAACGATACTGCTCCAACCACGTCGACAAACATGACCAGCGCTTCGGTGCAAACCTCGTCAACAGGCACGGGAAGCACGACGTCGAACCGCTATACGTTGGAAAGTCCACGGGCACCGGCGACGTTCCATGGCACGGAGCACGAGGACGTTGAGGACTGGTTGGCGGACTTCGAGCGTGTAGCCACCTTGAATCAGTGGGACGACGCGGCGAAACTGGGTTGTGTATATTTCTATCTCGAAGACGGGGCACGTACGTGGTATAAAAACAGAGAGGAGCAGCTGACGACGTGGCCCTAATTCTCTCGTTGACTTTTGCAGACCTATGCCAGTGCTGATCGCCAAGAACGAGCTGAACGAGCTAATCTGGCCCGCGTCCAGTTGCCAAACGAAACTGCGACCACGTACGTCGAAGACATGACGCGCCTCTTCCGACGGGCCGATTCAAGAACGACGGAGGACAAGAAGTTGCGCCACTTGATGCGCGGTGCAAAGGCCCAGCTTTTTGCCGGCCTCGTGCGCAGCCCTCCGAAGACGGTCGCAGAGTTCTTGTCCGAGGCCGTGACAATGGAAAAAATGCTGCAGCAGCGATCCAACCAATACGACAGGCAAGTCAGTGGCATGTCTGCTGCCGACATTTTCACCGCCACTAGAACCAGCAACGACCATCTACGTGAACTCATCCGTGATATAGTACGTGAAGAGTTGCAAAAGGCTGGTGTAACACCTCATTCTACGGTTAGCTCAATTGCAACTGTGATCAAGGATGAGCTGCACCAGGCCCTCCGGAACACCTTGCTTCCTGATACAGCTGCACCAGATTTTGCTGAATACCGCCGTGAGACAACCTACGCGGAAGCCTTGAAACGCCCTGCTGCATCGCCACCATTACTCGTCTATCCTGTTCCTGCTGTTGCACTCCAGTCAGCACAGCACATACCGTACTACGAAGGCACGTACACGCCACCGCCTTTGCCCTTTGTCCCTGGCGCTCCTGTCGCCCGTCGTTCGGTGCCACCAGTTCAGTACTGTTATATCGTGCATAATGAATAGCACAGCATA